CTGGTACCGGCCCGTCGCCTCCCGTGAGGCGGGACTGGTGCAAAGGGCCCCGCTGAGCTCGGCTGGCGGTGAAGGGCGGGATTTGAGACTAAACGAACCAGACCCCGGGGTTTGTGCAAAACCAGCAGAGGGGAAACCTGCGGCTGGCAGGGCCAGAGAGCGCTTCACACCCCGGATACCTGGGGCTCCTGAGGGCTGGAGTCTGTAAGGGGAGTTTCCTGTCAGGCCCGTGGCAGTCTGTGCAGGAGCACACAGGAGTAGCACGTGATCTAGTGGCTTTTCGTGTTTATCACTAGGAAAATAGATCTGCTTTTCCTTCATGGACATAACAAAAGTGGAAGATAATGCCTTACAGATTAAAAGGAAAAACTGCTTTCAGGCTGATAGGTGCTTGAATCCCTGGGGGAATTCCTACTGTTCATATATGGGCTCTGGTCTGCGTTCTGGACAGAACCTAGTTGGATTATTATTCTCATGCTGGGGGTGTTGTTTCGTAATTTAAACCACACGTGATAATGAGGAAGCCTAGTCGCTCCAAAAGTCCTCTTTAGAGGCCGCTACTCGCGGCCCTGTGCAGGTTCAGCGGGAGGCAGTAGAGGGTGCTGTGATTGCACACACAGAAATGGAGCTGCCTAAAGAACAAGGAAACAAATGCCCAACAAGCAGGTCATTGCAACACGGCCATGGTTTATGAAAATCTACCAGGTTATTAAGGTAACTCCACTATGTCAGAGTCAAGGGAAGTGTAGAGACCCAGCACTACTTTTCCCACATCGTGGATGGTATCATCCTCCTGATGCTTTTGCATTTGTATTATTTGCAGTTAAGCAGGAAAGACTTCGGTAAAATAAATTCCATTGTTTCTCGTGGCATTAAAAAATCACATGAGAAAGGAGGAATATGTGTTATTGAAGCCTCCTGAAAACAAGCATTCTAAGGGGACCCCATGAGTGCTGTGGTTGGAAGTACTGAAGGCCAAAAGCCCTGATGAAGTGTGGGGGTGATGGTCCCTGCCCCTGCCAGCCTGCAGTCAGTGGGCACACCAAGCAAAGACGGGTGCATGCATGGAATCACTGCTGACACGCACTTCCTCCAACCCTGCCTGGTCACTGGAGAAATCATAACACACTCCTGACTACAAGAGGTTGTTTTGTCAGAAATCAGAGCAGGATTGTGTTTTCAAGAGAGTCCGGAACATGGTCAATGTAAAAGTGTTGCAGGTTTTTATAGGCAACTTGTGAAAGAAGAGCAGAAATGGAAAAACTAGAACAATTGCAACACACTCCCCCTTGGAAACTACCATGGTCACAGGCACTGGAAGGCAGAAGTACATTTCCACTAATGCTTGCCAGAAGAGAAGATGGGTGGTCTCGTAGCTGAATCACAGGGACTACCACTGTCACCTGAATTCTGATTGTTGATTCACTAGAGAAGTCTTGTGTTGCCACTAACTGCTCTGTGCCACAGCTCTTCTTTATAAAGGTGGAGAAACATTATATTCAGTTATTCTTTTTAACCTTTGACACAACCAAAACTGTCACTGTCTGTGGGAGGGACAGCACAGAGGGTTTTCCCCTGAATCCCCCCGCTGTGTGAGGCACTGCCCCTGTTGCTGAGCTGTACCTCCCCCCCGGGACACTGCGGCCGTCGTGGTGCTGCCCCGTCAGAGACTGCAGAGGTACAGGGCACCCACCTCTCCAGGCACATTCCTTGCAGGAGTCCCACACTGAAGCTCTGGTTCTGCTGTATGCTGGAAGAAGGGACAAAGAGGAAACTGCTGTGAAGAACTCCAGAGAGTTGCATGAAGTTTATGTTTTCCAAATCTGTTGTTTTATCAGCAATTTTTTGGAAAATATATTTGTCTCACTGCTAATAAAAGAAGTGGCTCCACTGAACTGCTGAATTTCTTTCCACAAGAAAGAAGGAGGATTTTTTTTTTTTGCATGTGTGCATGTGTGCTAGCTTATCTTCTCGATCTTGAAGCTGTTTTTCAAGCCAGAATGTCACAATTTAATTGGGGGAGAAGCCTTAATCACAACTTGCAAACAAGGTGAAAATGGAACATTTTTAACGATTGCTTTCCAAAAAATAGATGGAACAGGGGAATGCTGACATTGCTTTACTTTTGCCAAAGGCTGCCAACACTCTGAGGGAATAAGCTATTCAGCTGGCGAAAAAGTGCTGAACAAACACTGAAGGAGCTAAAGGGATACTCCCAATCATGATATACTCACTTTTCACTCTATCTCCTGCCCCAGTCTGATGTCTTTCCCCTCACAAAAAAAAAAAAAAAAAAAAAAAAAAAAAAAAAAAAAAAAAAAAAAAAAAAGGGAAAAAAAAAAAAAAAAAAAAAAAAAAAAAAAAAAAAAAGAAATAAAAAATAAGAAAAGGCAGGCTGGATTAAAACAGTAGCAAGAGGAATTGGTGGATCCTGAGAGTTGGCAGGGGTATTAGTATTTTGTAACCTGATCTGTCATGTGACCAGGGCCAGGCAATAAAAATAAGTCTCCTACCAGCCCTCCTGTTTGCTCAACTTTATTATATGGTGTCAGTGGAGAACTACTTTTTTTTTACTTTTTTTTTTTTTGGCAAAAATTTAGCAAATGAAGCCACCTGAATCATTAAATCCTGAAGGAAATCTGGCAGAGAACTGGAGGAGGTTGTTGCTGCACTTCCAAGTTTTCCTGGAAGCAAGCATGTACTGAAGAGAAAAGGAGAAGGTGAAATCTCTCCTAAATGGGTAGGAGGGGCAGGAAGCAGAAAAACAAAACTATTAGAAGTAAATTAAATTCTTGATCAACCTTAGCAGAGGTTGGCAAAGATCTGTTTGAATTAGCCAACAAAGATGACTACTTGTTATGGACTAGCACACACACATATTCAGCTGCTGCACACCACAGTGAGCAGAAATGTAATAACATACTGTAAATTACAGTTTGCTCACCACAGAGCTCAAGATGAGTTAATAACAGATAATGGCCCACAATTCACAAGTGGATCATTCTGGTAATTCTCTTTGATCTGTAAGTTCAAGAATACCATGTCAAAGTATAGCTATGTACAGGAAAAAGAGTCAGTGTTAGAGCAAGAGCCCAGTAACAGCCTCCCCCCCTTTATAAGTCTGTCATTAGCACTGTAAAAACAGAGATGCTCACCTCACTGCCTTACTGGCCTCACCAGATCTGAGATTAATAGGCAAAGGAAAAGCCTTCTAAAGTCAGTGTTTAACAGAGGCTGCTTGGGCAGAAAGACTGTTAACCCTGCAATAGCTACCATAACATCCCTAAGCCCTGTGCCAGGGGAGTAGAGCAGAAAAATTTTAACAAGAGGAAGGAACACTTATTCTTTTATTCTGGTATTATGTGGATTTCCAACAAAGCAATCAGTTGGTTACATTTGTACATGTGAATGTCAGTCCTGAGATTGGGTCCTAACCTACTTTATAGGTGGCCCTTGTAATAAGAAATAAAGGACATGCAAGGGGACAGTGATCAGAGACCTGTTGATCAAGAAACGTGTGGACCAGAGGCACAAAGCAGTGTTATTTGCTTCATCAGCTGGTAACCCTGAGAAAGAAAAAGATCTGAATACCTTATAGATTCCAACAGAGAACTAAACAAGGCATTTTAGAAAGATCTTTTTGAGACCACCAGAAAGCTGCTGCGTGAGAAGCTTCTCCTGGTGTTAAAAAGTCAGCTTCTAAAGAGAAGATCTCCTCAAGTATCAGGTTCCTTTTGTGTTAGAAGCCGATTCATTTACCCTAAGTTCTTCCCTAAGCATTTCTGTTCATTTTAGTGAATTCCTCCTATTCTATCTATTATCATGTCATATTTACACATAATGAGATTCAAGATAGGTTAAGTGTAACCTTGAGTTCAACAGACACTGACTTTCATTGTGTAATAGCAATGTTAACAGGGATTTATATTTTGTGAGGGGGACCAGGAAATAGATATGGACACATTTCTTAAAACTCTAATGCACCACATTACTATTGTAGTACAAATCAAAGCCTATCTGAGTGAGACACAAAAAGATTTTTTTGTGGGAAGAGACCTACATGGTTTTGAAGTACCATCCAAATATTAGAAAGCTTCCCTGTCAAGGAAGATAAGGGGTGTATATTTACCATATTATTAAGTATCTCACACATGCTTGAAATGGTTTTGTGACAAGCACAAAAAGTGGTGGGGGGAAGGCTGGAAGAAAAGCCCAGATGCAGAGCTGTTCATGTGTACAAGTGATGGTGTCATCTCTGCTCTCTAGGACCCTGCAATGGCATGTATGTACTGAGCCCATAAATAATGCTGTAGTGCTTGACATACTTCTGGGAACAAGGAAACTAAAGAGCCAATTCATTTAACTCCCCAAGTGTGAGGAAGGGCCAAGGGACAAGAAGCAACATGTCATCATGTGTGTTTAGTTTGAAGGACAGAACAACAAAAGAACAACAACTCACATACCTCTAAATCCAGTGCAAAACACTGGAGGAAAATGGTCAGATAAAAAAGGAGAGAGATGCAACTTGAACATGCACTCTGTGTTTTGATTGGTCCTGGTAACTTTCAGCTTGAGTAGAGCAGAGCAGAGTGCAAGAACAGCCTGTTCTGAAGGAGTGCACCTGTGAGGTGACACAGCTGAGCTGTCCTGCCTGTCCCCTCCCGCTCTCAGTCCTGGTCTGTGGCTGCTGCCACCACTGCTGGGAAGTGACACTGCCCTGCACACACAGACATCAGCCAGAGACTGTGGCTGTGAGTGTGGCACCGTGGGTTTGTGACATAAGCTCAGCATGGTTTCTGTGGGTCTGTGTAAGTCATCTGTGAACTCCACAATGCAGGATTAAGCCTGAACAACATGAAGCACCTTCTGGGTGCTCTAGAAATGGTATTTCAAACTTCAACCAAACCTCACATCTCCTCTCTCCAGTGGCAAGAGTATATCTAGTCATCACTTCATTTAGTATGGCAGCTTTTTAAGTAGACACAAAATGGCTGGTTAAGAGCAAAGCATCAGGGAGGTAATTAAGTTGGAACTCAAGAGTAATGAGGTGACAGAGATTAGGCTGAGCATCATTTCTTTCACATCAATGTGTCCCACTTTCAGAAATGGACTTGTGAAAAATTTCCACCGCACATTCCCAGTGAAGTTACAGGAATTTTCTTTAACTATATGAGTTTTTAAAGGACCAAATGAAGAATATCACAACACAGAAAAAACCAAAACCTAAACCAAAACAAATCAATGGGAATTTTAGATCAGCAGAATGTTACCAGGGAGGATAACCTTGTTCTTGGTATCAGAGATCACCTGGGGATGTGTAATTAGAAAGGGAGCCACAATGTCATTGCTATCCTCCATTTGCAGTCTCATCAGAAGGACAGAAACCCCAGCAGCATGTATTCTCTTGATACCGTGGGTTGTTGCTGTCTCAGGAAGAAAAGGGTCACCTACCACCTCACCAGCACTATTTCCTGCCTCTGTTGAGGATGCCCAGCAAAGCGAGACCTGGCTGGACTTCTGAGGCTTAGGGATCACAACAAAAGCTGCAGTGCCTGTAAAACAATAGTTTCTTCATAACTCAAGCAATGATGTCCAATACAAGATCTGCACATAACAAAAAAAAGACAGTCAAGTTAGTTACCAGATCAGTGAAGTGACAGAAACTGGCTTAGACATCATTGCTCTCACCTCCATGAGCCCCAGTCTTGGAAAAACAGAGAGGGTTTTTAAAACTGTTTTAACCAGATATTTCCAGTATGATTCCCTTCTTGTAAGAGTTGCCAAGCATACCTACTTATTCAAGATTTAGTGGTACATTTTGCTCTTCCTTAAACACTCTTCCAAATGTGCCGACACTTTCTAGGAACAGGGTGGTGTGGGGAGGCCACTCTGCACCGCCAGCAGCTGCCCTGGGTTGGCTGGGTCAGCGGCTGGAGGAACCGGCTTCCTGTTTTGCTGGTGCTCAATGCCACTTAACAATAGGGGGAAAGAAAAACTGCAGGATCTAGGCATTGCAAAGCTGTTTTCTACATGAGCTGTCCGCCCGCCTTCCCCCTCTGCTCCGGCCGCCCCCGCCTCACACACCCACCCCCCGGTGGATGGCAGCACAGGAGAGCACGCAGAGACGCTCGGGGCTGAGGGGACAAGGGCTTGAAGGTATCTCTGCCATATAAACAGCCTGGACTCCACGAGAGTGAGTCTGAAACAGCAGGCTGGATATTTTCTTCTGCCTGTGTCTTTTCTTCTGCCTCCTGCGAGAGAGAAAATGAGAATCATGTGCAGAGCTTCTGGAGCTTCAGTGTCAGCAAGCATCACTCGTGCCTTCTTACAACACCCAAAACATCTCGTCCATCATAGTAGATGGTTTTCAACACCAGCCTGAGATAACCATTTCCAGCAGTGGTCAGTACATTAGGGCAGGAACAGCACTGGCCGTGATTTCTCATTCTGTCTTTCTGAAACATGTCCTTCTCTAGTGGTTTGCTCAATGCCGAATCCTTAATCCACTCTTATCAGCTCATGGAGTGTTTTTACTCATTACTTGCCTCCTACTGCCTACACACTCAAGCAACATCCCTTGCTACCCGGACAAGTTCTGGTGATGTCTCTCGATATCCAAATCGGACCTCACTTACTGGCTTTGTTTATCAAAAGCTTCTTCTGAGATTAAGGGTTGCAAGGGGTACCTCTGTAAAGCAGAAGAATCTAAGCATTGTAACTGTGAGTGGAGCCACTCAGAAACAGGAAGTGCAGGTGCCCAAACCGTAATCTGGGTTTGTTGCTCTCCCTGTCCCTTTATTTTTGCCTCCCCCTCTGTTTCTGAATACGTGTTGTCTTCAAAGGCACACAGGGCAGCAGACAGGAGCCCCAGGCAGACTGGAAGTCACAGGCTCTTTGTTAGTGCTCAGGCTATAGAAATCACAGGTGAGTCACCCCTGCTTTCAGGAGCAGGTAACCTAGACATTGCCAATCAAGCTCACAGAGCCTTAACTGCAGTCCTGACAAGGAAATTATCAGAAGCCATGCAGATATTACAAACGCAGTTCCTTTGTTATTGCCTGTAGCCTTAAAAAATTCTGCAGCAACTGACCCCTACAGCTTTCAAAGTTCAGGAGTGGCATTGCTTGGACATACAGTGTGCAAGTATTGTGCTAAGTTTACAGAATACTGTGGCAGAAACCTCCTTATCGAAGAATTTATTTTGTTAAAATTTTTGTTTGCCTGTTTGTTTTTGTAGTGAAACCTCAACCCCACCTGTTGGCTTTTGTGTGGGATTTTTTTTTTTCAGAGAAGTTATGATTGGGTTATAAAGCCAGTAAAATAGCAGTTAAATCTTCAGGACTTAAACTGCCAAGCACAGAGAGAAGTTTTACAGAGAAATCAGCCAGTGAGACACAGTAAATGTAGGGCATCTATCATGCTTAAACCTTATAATGACCCAACATTGTTTTATCATCATTTGAACACAGCAGGAGAGCTGAAACCCCACTGAACTCCATTGGAGGATGAGTATTCTAGGTCTTTATGATGAACAGTACAAAAGAGATATTTTTGACAAAAAAAAAGCCCCCACAAATCCTAGGATGAAAGTGACTTTGTCTATGCTAAAGGTTTACCTAACATTATTTTGCAATCAAGGTATGGTGTTCTCTCACCCTGGTCTTTCCTTTCGTTGTTTTCCCAGACAAGACTGAAGAGTATCATTAACGCAATTTCTCAGAAGGCATCTGTCATCTGTCACATGTGTTTATATATCCATGCCTACTGTGTGCAGTCTGGGAAAATCCCCTAGTGTTCTTGAGGGAGAATAAAGACCACAGGGATGAGCAGTGGCATGACACCAGCTACCCACAGAGCAGCAGTGTCTTCAATGTTGTGTTGCACCCAGTACTCTTAGGACAAGTTAATTATCAGGTTAAAGGAAGATAATTAACATAGGAAACTACATCATTATTCAGCAAGACATCTAATGCTATCTCCGGTGCCTGTTACTCTTGCTCGACCAGTTCAGCCCTTAACAGTGTATTAGTCATCTGACCACACTGAACATCAATCTTTCACTCCTCATTACACACTCAAATACAAGCTACAGTATAGACATGCTCCATCCTGTAATTACAATATATAGCTGTGCTATAAAGTCTATTATGTCTAGAGGTTAGACTCAGAAACAAATTAATTAATTGCACTTTCTCCACTTCTAGGCTAAGATAAGATTTTGTTGCTTCTTTTCAGTAAAAGACTGCTTTTCCTGTAATTAATGTGGTTTGCTGTAATAAGCAGCATGTCAGCAAGAAACTCCTCATACAGGGGCAAGCAACAGGCATTTCATCATCACAGGGCACCTGATTATCAGTATTATAAAGTTATCTTTTGGCAGAGAACTCTTGGCAGCAAGTAGCCTCTGTGGTGTGAGATTAGCAGTTCTGCAGCAGGCAGAGCCCCAGTGACAGCCCAGCCTGGGGTGCGTGCTGTGGCAGTGCTGCAGGGGGGATGCACCCCTCTGCACAAGCCGAGTGCTTTCCCATTCCACTCGGTGACAAGGGAATGCCTTCGTGCCTTCCAGAGGTGTACAAATTGAAATGCTGGATTTAAATCGGATTACATGATGTGTCGGATGGAAAATGTCAGGGTGGTCTTTGGACTGTTTGAACACAAGAGTCTGGAGAAAGCTAATATTTGGGGGGCTCTGTCAATAAGGTTTTCCTTGGTTTTTTTTCTCTGTGGAGGACAGGACTCCAAACTGATTCCCCAAATTCTACTGCTTGTGGATCAGTAGTGTGATCCTCCTAGGGACTCATGGGTGCTGTGGTTAGTGTGGGCTCAGAGAGGCACCAGAGAGACAACCCATCCTGGCTGAGGAAGACACTCATTCTTCCAAGAATGATTTTACCTTTTCTTTTTCTCCTTTCACACAAAAAAAAATTTCCCCTCTGGTTTCCCTCTGTCTCAGCTCTTTCCCTCCTATCAGTCACTTCTCTGTCACCATTCTTCACCATGCTCTGTTTTGCCATTCTTCTCTATCACAGTCATGTATTGGCTGTCACCCAGGATGGCTTTCACTAAGCAGGGCAGTGACCTCACTAACATCCTGCCCCTGCCTCTGGTGGCACTAATGTCAGAGCTGGAGTAGCCATGGTGCAGTCTAGCTTGGAAGGTGAATCTTTTTGCAGGGCAGTTCTCACATCCCAGCACAGCCGTGTCCAAAGGGAGAGTGTTGTGCTGCTTGTGGTGTGGTGTTCTGGTGCAGCAGCTCAGGCTGCTGTAGGCACATCTGCACAAAACAATGGCTCCCTACCCAATGCACCCACAGCTTAAGTGACTTTTATAAGCTTAGCATGCTCAGAATCTCTAGTGAAAGGTGCAGTGCATTCGAAGAGCAAGTTGGGAAAGTCCTGCTCTCTGCAGAATGAAAGTCTCTGGCTGAGGAAGAAGACAGGTATCACTTTCTCTCCTTTTCTCCACTGTTTTGCTCCTGGTCCTAAGCTACAAAACAAACCCAGGATTTCAGGGAACATTCAATCTGCAGCTTGTTCTCAGCTGATCCTGTTGCAGGGAGCAAGTTCCTGGCTGATTCACGAGCAGTAAAAATAAACAGTCTGGGGAAGGCAGGGAGGAGGGAGGGAGACCGGTGGTTACAGAGGAAAAAGTAGGAGCTACAGCAGCTGGTGTTTTCTTTGCTGGTTCTTTTCAGAGGATTTAGGCAGGTTGGAGATGTAAGTGATTAATGGAGAATGATAACACCTCACCCCCCTCCTCTTTCTCCTGGAAGGAACATGAGTCTTTATGCATATCACTGGTCTCTCAGCTTTAACCTTTCCAAGATTTACACACTCCATCCACTCCAGTGCAGTGCTGTGGAGCTGACAGCACATCTGGGTGTATTAACTGTACACTCTGCGGTTTTTGTAGATGCTTAGGGTTTGTTCTCAGTGTTTGCTGCACTCAAAGCCCTGAGACTTCTCCCATGGAACTGACCAGACTGAAGACGAGCTGCCACACAAACTTGAGACTGTTTTTGTTTTTATCTAGCCTCTTCTGTGCATAGATTAAAGGCTACAGCTATGTATTGCAGAACACCAGTAACATGTGCCTCCTCAGTGGTATATGAAATAATGACCAGAGGAACAAGCTTATATGAAAAATTGCCATTAAATGTAACAAGGAAGAAATAGAGAGAGCAAGCTTAGGATAGAGCTTCACAAATTATTAACACGTTATGATGCATAAGGTTCCATCAGACCAAGTCCTGGCATGGACTGCAGATGCATGTGCATTAAGAACAGCATGCATGTTTACTCACAGGGCAATTTAATCTTTAATGATCAGGACAGGACACTGTGAGGTATTAGTGAGAATGGGAAGCTGTCATATCTTGGCTCCTGGTTGAAATTCAGACCAGACTGTGTCTGGCTGAAGGAGAAACACTCAACTATTGGTTGGTAGCCTCTTTGGTAAATGAGCTGCTTTGCAACTCCAAATGGAGTTTTCTGTCACAAAATCTCCACTGCCAAAAGCGGGGATGGTGGTAAGATTTGCAGGCAAACTTTCTAGCAATGGAAAAGGACAGGGAGAACAACCAACCAGTACCTGTGTGCAGTGTAGGGGAGGGTGCTGGGTGGCAATCACACAGCCATCAGCTGATGTTACCTGCCCTGAGCTCAGAGAGTCTCTTGCATCTCCCACGAGCACACCCACCACCACGTACCCTGCTTGTGGGGCAGGCTGGGGCGGGAGGACAAGGGGTAAAGGCTGAGCTAGTCACAAACACACAAACTGAACCTGCTTCAGTTTTAAGATCCGAGACTGGCTTTTGCCAAGCCAAGTGCTGGCACATCCTGCAGTAAAGGGGAAGGGGGAGTGCAAGGGTGAGAAGGAGCGGGGTGGAGAGGGAGACCAAGAGAGACAACCGATTATCTTTTTTCTACCATGCTGGTCCTGTGAGATAGGGGAAATTTATAATGCACATACAAACTCCAGAGTTTTCAAGGGCTGTCTCTAGCTGTATATCATATTTCCAGGGGTCAAATGTTTATACGTTTTGTCTACAAGAGTAAAAATGTGTATTTTTATTGGGGAGTGACTGATCACAGGAGTGAGCCAGAGTGCAATACATTAAAGAAAAGGCAAGTTGCTTCACTTCTGTGAGGTTAGCTAAGTGGTATAGGCTCTGTGCCCCAACTTGACCAGAACTGGTTTATCAGTCAGACCACAACACCTTGACTGCATTGCATCCTTCCTTCTGAACAAAACCAAACCATCCTGAATAACACCTGAGGACACTTGTTTATTAAGCTTATACCAGTTTTGAGAATTCTGACATCTTTTGATATGTAAATGCTTTCCAGGAATCAGTCTGCACACATAACTTGTTTACCCCACAAGACAGAGTAGTTGCAAGCAGCACATCACATACAACTTACATGTAAATGATGCTGTAGCCACATTGATGAACTTTGTCTAGATGGGCACTCTGTAGATCTTCAACACAACCAAACTGACTGGCTATCTATAAAAAGCAATACAGCTTTTCTAAATAAGTTTTCTAATTAAGTTCAACAAAGACAGGTGCCAGATTCTGCACCTGGGACAGGAAAAACTGAGTGTACATACAGATGGGGGAACGAGACACTTGAGAGCAATGCTGTGGAAAGGAACCTGGTGGTCCTGGTCTGTGGCTAGGTGAACATGAGTCAGCAGTGCCCTGGCAGCCAGGAGGGCCAGCCCTGTCCTGGGGTGCATCAGGCACAGCATCACAGCCAGGCAAGGGAGGGGACTGTCCCCTCTGCTCTGAGCTGGGGTGGCCTCACCTCCAGTGCTGGGGACACTTTTGGGCACCGCAGTATAAGAAAGATATAAAGTGTTAGATAGTACCCAAAGGAGGGCACCAAGGATGGGTAAGAGTCTAGAGGGGAAAGCAGTAATAGTGGGTGGGATCACCTGGTCTGCATCCAGGAGGAGACTGAGGGAAGACCTCATGGCTGACTGCAGCCTCCTCATCAGGAGAATTGGAGGGGCAGGCACCGATCTCTTCTCTCTGGTGACCAATGACAAAACCTGAGGGAATGGCCTGAGACTGATTCCAGGAAGAAGGTTCTTCACCCAGAGGGTGTTTGGGCACTGGAACAGGGACCCCAGGGAAGTGGTCACAGCACCAGCCTGACAAAGTTCAAGAGGCATTTGGACAATGCCCTCAGGCACATGATGTGATTCTTGGGGTGATGTGCACAGGATCAGGACCTGAACTTTGATGATTCTAGTGAGTCCCTTTCAACTCAGCACATTCTATGAGCCTAGTTTTGTGAGGAGTAATGTAGTCAGACCTTTAATGTTGAGAGAAAGAGGGCAAATTAGAAGATTGCTGCAAAGAGAAGTCTTTGCCTACTTTTAGAAAATGAAAAAAGAAAAGAAAAATAAATGAAAAATGAAAAGAAAAATAAATCCAAATACCATTTGGACACACACCACTATGAGTCTGTCACTATAGGGCGCTGAACACTCTTGGGTATTGCCCAAACTGGTTTTTATCCAGTTCCTTCTCAGGAATCACGCCACCATTCCTTCATAAAGGAAGGATTGCTGCTTTGAAACACAGATATTGCTTAGAATTCACCTTTATTGAGGAAGTTTTAGGGAACATGGTAGGACTTTTAAGGCCTTGAGCAACCTGGTCTAGTGGTAGGTATCCCTACCCATGGAAGGCAGGGGTGGGACTAGGTGATCTTTAAGGTTGCTTCCAACCCTTAACATTCTATGATACATCTGCTAAAGCCAGAAGTCCTATGAACAGCCTACAGGCAAAACAAATACATATTTCTCACAGGGTAAACTAACTGCTTCTCACTGGTCCTACTTTAGTTGCTGCCTCCAAAGGCAGTTTTGTTGTTGTTTTTCAACAGATTGCCTCAGAGTTGATGGAGAGATACTTCCCATGGGATGACAAGCCCTGCAGCCTTTTAGTCATCGTGCATGCATCAAGCATGCAGCATTCCCAAGAGGTGTTGTAGTACTGCCCATGCCAGTTCAGCTCTGCCTTCTCCTGACCCCTGAGTTTCCTAGTGCTAGGTGCTTGTTTTCCACCATGAGCCAGTTCAAGCTGTTCCCACTCAGAACTGCAGTACTTGGGGTCTTTTTTGTAGCTACCCTTAAAATAGGAGTTCTGTCCCACTTGGCCTCAAGTATCTTTCTGGGTACTCTACTGCATACTACACAAACACAGGCACTTGCTGAGTCACCAATTCAGCCAGGAGCAGGCAGAGGTGTGGGCTGTGAGATGTGGAGGGCCTGCAACAACTGACAACATGCCTGGCACAGCACAAGGTGTTACAGAAGACACAGCCCAACTTCGGGGGAAACCATACCTGACTTCCATGAGTGTTTGTGCAAGGCAGACAGCTCTCAAGGACAGTGTCATGTTTTTATGTGTGTTTAAACAGAGCCTAGCACAACAAAGTCCTTAATCCAAACCAGAGCTCTTAAGTATCACAGTAATGCAAATTAAATAACACTTATCATACACTTTCCCTCTCTACTCACCAGGTCAGGCATGAGGGAAGGCCCCTTGTCACTGTTGGGAAGGAGCTGGGCTTCACATCAAGCTGGGCACATCTTCAGGCTAAGCTCAGATAGTTACTGCCCATTAGCCAGGCTGCCCTGCTGGACCTGCAATCAGGCTTCCTCCTGAGAGGAGAAGTATGTTTAGTCTATACCCGAGAGAAGTGTTAATGTCATTTATCCTGTGTTTGCCCCAGCTAAAAGCACATGTTTGTACAATTACTGGGGTTCAGCTAACACTAGTATTTTTGCATGCCACAGCAATCTGTCAGAGTCTATAGGACCTCTTTTAGAAAACAGATAAAATGGAGTTGGTAGAGAAAAATTCTCAGCAGACATTTGCTGAATGTGTACTTTTTAAAATAGTCCGTGCCAGTTGCTGTCACTAAATTTGATGAAAGTTCTAAGACTTCTAGCAAAATATTTCTGATCCCAAAAGAAAATACGTTTCAGTCAGTTCCATCTATTCTGTAATCCAGCATTATTAGTTGGCCCATTTCCCACAAGCAGAGTGATGTACAGCAGGTAATCCTACAGACACAAAGCTTGTCACAGCTCATCTGCTTCCATGAAACTGCATTAGAGTGAATGATAACTGAGGATCTGCTTGTGAATGAGCAGATCACCTCTACTAGTTAAAGGAAGCAGGGAAGAACTATTAAAATAATTAAACATACACATCTACATATATGTAAGAACATATATGTATATTCTATACATATATATAAGAACTATTAAAATAATTAAACATACACATATACATCTACATACACAATCAATAACTAAATTTTACTGAAAAAAATGCAAACAGTGTTTGACCACTCACTGAACTTGGCTGGCAGTAGAAAACCACCTTCACAAATAATATCATTGTCAAAAAAAATTAAACCCATTATTTCTAAGTAATATAGAAGGTAATACGTATAGAACAAACATGCAGCATTCAAATTACATTCAACAGATGTGTTCAGTTAGCTGCTCTATACAGGCAGTATCATTTGACAAGAAGAGGTTCCAGCCACTACACAAGATCGGCATTGTGCCTTTAGCACTGCAAAGTTTTAAAGAGGTTTAAAGAGGGGAGCAAGATTGTAAGTTTGCTTATCAGTAACAGCTTTTTTGGAAGGCAAATGTTGAGAAAGATGAGTGATATTTATGGTAAGATTAAAAGTATGTCTTTTGGTAGGGCATTTGATGAGTTTTGTAGGTAAATACACCGGGTTAATGGTCTCTTTCATATTGAAACAGTATCCTCAGCGGGATTTGCTTCCTCGGCTGCTCTCGGTCCCCTCCCCCTGCTCTGTGACATGAGAAATGCAGTGTTTTTAATGACTGGAGCAGGAGGGATCTTGTTATTGTGGCTGCATCACCCCTCCAGGACACAGTTCAGTAGAAGTTTGTCATGTGGCTGAGCAGAAACGATGAATGCAGGTTTTATGGAGTTCATTCCCCAAATACAAAGGAACAGGGGAAAAAAACCCCACCACATTCATGGCTACAGGCTGCGAGAGTACACAGTTCACAGCCGGAACCCTCCATTGATCACTGTCAAGCTGCTAGCCTGCAATGCACCTGCGAGCTCTCCCCCCTCCCTGAGCAGCAAGCCTTTACCTGCACTCCCACCTGCGTTCACAGCCTCTCCCCCCAACCCATCTCCTTCTTTCTCACTCCTCTACCTTCCTAGCTGAGAGCATTCTGGTCTTCAGTGTCCCTCTGATACACAGGTTGGGTCTAGGGAGAGCTAAATCACCCCTGTGCTTGGAGGCACGTGGATATTCACCAGTTAATGTCCCCCCAGGCTTGTTTCTCTGCTGCCCTTGCCTGCCTCACCTCGGGCATTGCCTCATTTCCTGTTTGCTCCTAGCAGCCGCCTCCTTTGCTTTAACTCCAGGCCATTATGCAGGCTAATATCACACAGGTGGAAGGGGTAAACATTAAAAAAACCTCCCAACAACCCAACATGTCCTTCCTCTCCTCAATGGGCATGATGATATTGTCAGGAAATGGGTAATAGCTGCAGGTGCTAGAAAATTAACTACATGTATAAGAAGTTTGAGTGTTGAAAATATACAGACAAATAACTTTGACTGTGAATAGGTTATTCTAAATAGGTAAGCACTAATGCAAGATCTCCTTGACAAAGCACCTTACGCACAATTCTTTTGTGACAGCAGCTGTCTTGCTCTAAGCAAGTCCCCCAACATCATAGGATGCTTTGGGTTGGAAGGGGTTAAAGATCATCTTGTCCCAGCCCTTCTGCCATGGGCAGGAACATCTTCCACTAGACCAGGTTGCTCAAAGTTCCATTTTACCTGGTCTTGACCACTTCCAGTGATGGCACATCCACAATTTCTCTGGGTAACCCATTCCAGTGTCTCAACACCCTCACAGTAAGAAGTTTCTTCTTCCCTGGACTGGGAACTGCCACTCCCTCACCTCACCTTATTCTGATCTCTCCCCAGTATGTTTCCCTCTGCAGGATTTGGGGCCTTGGTTGCAGGAAGCAGGTGACAGTACCAAGAAAAATCAAATGCTCTCCTGCTGTAGTATGTACATAGGCAGGTCTGAGCGTACCTATGTGTGCACACACTGGTCTGGTCTGATCATTTGAGGTTCATGAATGGATCACATGCTGGCCTTTGTAGGTTAGGCACTCGGAATTTAAACTCAGAAAATTAACAATTTTCTGACACATGCTGGATCATTTAGTTTGTTGGCATCTATGTTACAATAACTTAAGGTGCACTTTTCCCCAGGAGAAAGGCAAACAAGGCATAACAATATCAAAAGTTGCTCCCTTGGCTTTACTTGTCAACTCAGGTCTGGGAAACCATATCCCTGAGCCCATTTCACCAGCTCTACTTTGGATCAGTATAATTGTTAGCTGTCAATAACTCACTCCATTTACTGCTCTCAGCTGCTCAGGAGGACATGGCAGACTCTGAGCCGAGTAAGGTTACTGCATGATAACAGCAGTTCTTAAGTCAAATGGGATAATGAAGCTCTCCCTAGATGGTGACAAGCTTTGGATTTCCCATAGAAACGTGTGATTGTGCCTGTGTCTTTGCCTGCTGCGTTGAAGACTCTCCCCCTCTTCTCCTTCTCAGGTCTGGTTCCCCAGCCCCAGCCCCAGCAGTGGTGGAGCTGAGTGGCTGTGGGCACTTGATGCTGATTAAATTCTGCTGACTGAGGAAGATGTCAAATTCTACCCAAAGCAGAGAGCCGCCAAGGAAAAGCTGCTTTTCTTTGCTTTTGACAGCTGGAGCCATGAATTTAAGCAGAGGTCTCACCTTCAGGCAAGTCAACAGCTGGGCAGGGAGCAGTCTCTCTTAAAGAGAGAGTACACCATATTTTGCTGGAGTTCAGTGTTGCCAGGAGGTGAACGAGCTGAAGTGCAAGAGAACATTTATGTAAAACCCCAGGTGCAGCTGGGTTTTTGTTGTCAGGTTGTTTTTGGGTTTTTTTTCTTTTACTAGAGAAAGACCAAGTAACAAACAAGAAAGAGGAAATGAAAACAGTCTTAATTCCCACCCTTGGTGTTTCTCATCTTTCATTTCCCCTGCCATATGAACAAGGAGAAGATCAGCATGTGTCTGTACAGGAAGTTCCCAAACCCAAAGTCCTTTTGCTAAGAAGTCCATGCACTGCGTCACATCTATTTTTATACTTTTTATACTGTCTTTGTTTTTATATGTATGCCATGCCACGCTCAGGAAACAGTGGCTCTATTGGTCAGTAATGGGGTCCATAAGACTCTTCCCTGTTTCTAAATCTGTCTGTGCCCAATAGCCATCCAAAGCTCTTTCTGCTGAGGAACTGCTTCCTGCCTTTGCAGTGTGAAACCTGTGTGCTTAGTTCAGGGGCCAGTGGATGGGATTTCCCACCACAAAATATCCCTGCCCTAACTAAATCACTGCAAATATTACTGTCAGTATCACCTGAAGACTGAGGGCTGAATGGCTTCACTCACGCCCTGTACTTTCTGAGGCCAAAAGAGAAACGTTGTCACTGCAGGGCGAGGCTGTGTGATGCCTGATTTTCAGTCCCATTGAGCAGAAGCCAGGAGCCGGAGGAGGTTCAGACCTTGCAGGAGGCAGGGACAGACACAACTCAGATCTAAGTGCAGCGGGAAATGTGCAGCACACAGTGAGTCACATGGCCACTGTCGCATCATGTAATTCATGTGTGTGATATCTTAGCAGGTGCAACTGGCCAGGGGTGTGAAATGCAGGGGAGCCTTGCTTATTGCCCTTTCCTACCCTCCATAGAGCCACAGCTGTTTACAGTACTCTGGCCACCAGACAAGAAATCTGGGGGTATTCCTAAACTCTCTTGTGGGAAAACCAGTTTAGGAAAGGATTAGATATTAGTTGGACCAAAAGGAAAGTTTATAGCTGTCTAGTTTGCAGTCAGATGGTAAGGGAAATGCACAAGCAATCCTGAGCAGGGCAGGGAAGCCAAGGCTCTGGCTATTGTGTGTCCTAGCCAGTAGGCATCATAACCATAGTCACTCTTTTTCTCTCTGACATATCCAATTTTCTTTCCTTTCCCTGCTGAAGACCTCCAAGAGAAGAAATGTCCCACCCCAGTCTCTCCCTTGAGCATTGTCACACTTTCTAGGAGGGTGGGAAATGTGAACTTTAAACCCTTCTTTAAGGGAACTATGTCCATCTCCACAGTACCTTAAAAATATAAGATGAGATCTCTCTCCTTGGTTAGATGGAAGAAGTCCTCATGGACTCATGGACTCAACCATGTTTAAGACTGTCATCATTGTCGTCATCGTCATCATCATCATCAGTGTTGTTTTGGGGGGGAAAAATTATCCCCAACAAAAACCAGCAAGCATCATCCTCCAGCCCAACAGGGAAAAGGAGGGAATGGCAGAGGGAAGAAATATTTTGTGTCTGGATCTCCACTAGTGTCAGTATGGAGCAGAAGTCACAGTACTCTGGCCTGAAAACACTGAAGTGCCAGTAAACACTGTAAGAGTGCTTAGATAGGATTTCTCTATGGATGTTAACAGTTGAAACACCTGTTAAAAGCATGTATTTGCAGAGTTAAGCATAACTGAGGTTATCAGCATTAAAATTTATGGTATGGAAACCAAAACTCCATCCAGATCCCAACCTTAATATAGGCAGGCCCTCTTTGGATTTTGCCCGATCAATTTCAGCATTTTTTCCATAAAATCTTTAGCTTCCTTAGTGGTAGAATGTTGAAGGTGATTGTGAAAAAATCTGTTGTCTTATTTATTAGACAAGGAGGCAAACAGACAAGGGGGCAAACAAAAAGAAAAAGTTTTCTTAACTATTTTGTTATATTGCCCTAGATGGAAGATAAAATCCCATTTCTGCCATAATAGCAATAACTACCACCCTAAATCCTTTTCTGAAATCCATGCCAAATCTCAGCTTTCAAAGATTTTTATGTGCAAAGGCATTTGGAACACCTGAAGAAGGTATATTTCAAGTAGAATTGAAAGACAGAGACCACTTCTTGCTTGAAAGCAGGATGGCATGGAAATCTGGTGCCAGACTTCTTTCTTGCTAGATTTTCTGCCTCATTTTACAGCCTCCTACCGTTCAGGTGGGGGTCTGTAAGAGCAGAAACTTGGATGGTTAAGTTTTTTTTCTGAATACCGTTTTTAAATGCTCTGAGGCATCCACCATCAACAAGAAAGATCCTGGGTACTGTTGAAACCAGCAAGTCATGAAATGAAAAGGGACAGTTTGTTGTGAGCATTGCAGCTAGAACTGCCAGCTTTGTGATTTTAGAAGAGAAACTTTACCATCAGCATAACGTGACATTTTGGTGTGATGCATGATGATGTGTGGGTGGATTGCAATGCCACATGTTGTTATTTCAATGTATTGTCATCATCAGGGTTCACTGAAGCATTGCTGCGTTTCAGCAGAACATCATTATCTCCTCTAGCAGCTTCAGCTCAGCCAATCCTAATAGGTTCACAGATATTTAGTCTATAAAAAAAATCTACTTTGCCTAGATTTGCATCTTAATATTCTAGAAAACCAGATAACTGGAAGCAATTTCATAGAAAATTATTTTTAAATGTAGCTGCATACATTCATAGTGGAGGCCTCATCCTCACTTCAGTCTTTTCTGAGAAGGGAAACTCGCCTTGTTACTTCTGCAAATAAGCATGCAGTTTCCATTTCATACAATAATTACAATTAAAGAACATATTAGAAAAATATAACTAAACAATTTTCTCCTAAAGAGATAAAACTGTTCTTAAAAAACATTAATTATAAATTTTTCTTCTAGTTCCCAGGTACCTAGTGGAAACTAAAGAATGATCCTGCTGCAACTTTTTGTCAAGGAGAGATGCAAATAATATGATTAGCTTGCTACACAAAATGGATCTGATCTTGAAATACTGGGGTAAATATCAACTATGCCTTCTAGAAATTAATCTAACACTAATGGAAGTCATAGGATGAAAGCTTTCCCTGCCACATTGAAGGTACAAGGCACAATGCACAAACCCAGATGAATTTGAAAGAGAATCCAGAATACAGTGTGCAGTTAAGTAAGCCAGGATCTGTTAAGCACAGTTGTGCATTCATTTGGATAGCAGCTTCCCACACGGGCCATGTCCTGGAACTGTGCTGAGATTATTTGAGCTGTGTGAAGGACCTCTGTGTCCCTATTACCAGGAAATAGTTCATATTCTTCCCCACTGGGGCCCACATGCACCTGCACAAGTGTGGTGTGTGGTTTCTTCTTGCAGCTGCATCTGTGACTCTGCTGCCTGCACAGAGGTTTTAAAGTGTAAGTGGAGAGCTGGTAAGGCTGCCCTTCAGTGGCACTGCAGCCTCAAGGGCTGCTGCAG